TTGGAGGGGGAAATTTTCATCGAAAAAAATATCACATCGAAATCGTTTAATATTTAATGTATGTTAATAGGTATGTAATGCTTATACTAGTATAAATATGTTTAAGTTATCTGAAATATTTTATTCGCTTCATTTTTTTTGTATATCTTCTTTAGAAAGATTATGCAACACTGTGTCTTTCTCTTTCTCTCGCGATATAATAATAATAAAATATAATAGAAGTTAATGCGAAGTCTGTTATTTTAACAGTTACCGTATATAAAAGCAGTACTTTACTACCTAAATGTTTTAAAATTATCAGCCGTATATAAAAAGGTTCTTATGTTTTACGTAGAAATTCCTTAATGATTAAATTATAATTTTTCTAAAAATATATTGTACATACTTAAACTTTGATGATTAAATTTAATATTTTTATGATCGATAATGAAGAAATTTTCCTGCTTTTTTCAGTTACCTAGAACGCAATGGACTCTGTTATCTTTACTGTAGGTAATCGATAGATATATTATATATTATAGTAAATTCAACACGATATATAGCGACGCTAGTAGTAATGAATATTAACAGTGTTCAAATCTTTGCATTTTTGTGTTTTGAATATTAACATAAATGACATTATATACATTTTTATTATATTAAACAAGTTATATATTAAATTAATTTTTGACATAAACATTCTAATAAACTATGCCTGTGTTTCAAGAATCTTGCGCTGAAGTAAATAATAATTATGTTTCATTGAGGTTATTATATACATATTACATTTGTAATTAAATTTTAACATAAATATTATTTTGTGTTTTTAGCAAATCCAAGCGCAAACCATTATTATAATACATCCTGGTTCAATGTATCTTCGTATGGGTCGTGCGTCTGATTTAAATCCTTGTACTCTATTGAATGCAGTTGCTAGAAAACGATTACCAGGTGGAGTTGAATATAAGGATGGTTTTTTACCAGTTCTTGTTCCTCGAGTAAGCTAGTTTATTAATTATTTTTATTACTAATTAGATAAGTTAATAAAAATAATCTTTACTTGTTTCTATTAGACGAAAGAACTAACACAAACAATGGAAGAATCACGTCTTCACGTTTCTCATACATTGCAATCTTGTTTACAATCAGATGGTAGGAGAAGATATGCTACACCACCCCAACAAATAGCAGCTTTTAATCGTAGATCCAATCCAGAAGTACTATCCCCATCCAAAACTGAATGGACGAAGACGGATAAGGATATCATTGTGGGTGATGATATACTTTCTTTAAATCCAGAGGATCATTTCAATATACATTTTCCATATAAAAGAGGTGAACTCAACGTTCATTCCGGCCCTGGTGGAAGTTTAAAAGCAGTTATGGCAGATCTAAAAACAATCTGGGAATACGTACTTACTGAAAAAATGAACATACCACTGAGAGATTTAAAACATTATCGAGCAGTACTTGTAATACCAGACATTTATAATAGACAATATTTAAGAGAATTAACCACATTGATGCTTTGTGAAATTGGTTTCGGAGCCTGCTTTCTTTTACAAGTTCGTTACATGAAAGATAAGATATTGTAATTATAAATGTATAAGGGATTAAAATAATTATTATTTTTATATGATCTTTATTAGGATCACGTAGCAGCTACATTTGGAGCAGGTCTAGGTTATGCATGTGTTGTAGATGTCGGTGATCAAAAAACATCTGTCTCTTGCGTTGAAGATGGAATTTCTCATAGAAACACGCGTGTACGTATGGATTATGGTGGTGGAGATATAACTCTTACATTTCTTTGGCTGCTTCAAAAGTGTGCATTCCCATACAAATCTTGCGATCCATCTGATAAATTGGATGCATTACTTTTAAATCAATTGAAAAAAGATTTTTGCCATGTCGATTTAAATGTTTGTGGATCTCAAGAAAAAACATTTATCGTCAGGAAACCTAAAAGGCAAACGGAGAAGTATACATTGCAAGTAATATTTTATTTCTACATTTCATTAACTTATTAATCATGTGTTATATTGAACAGATATATGAATATATTTATATTTACAGGTTGGAGATGAATGTTTGGTAGCACCTTTGAGTTTATTTCAACCAGAATTGTTTAAAGTTACAGGCACGCATAATGTACATATTCAGAGACGATCCATGGGTGATCCAGAAGATCCTCATGATGAAAATTACTTACGAGAAACAAGTGTAAAAATATTTATATATATAAAAACAAATAGAATAAAATATATATATATTTGTTTATATTGTATTTAATGATATGTTAATATATTTTTATAGAGAAGAAGTATGAAAGAAAATTTAGAACAACCATTAGAAATGCAAGAAGAAGTGATTGCACCAACCACTGTAGGCGAAGAAGAAGTTAATGTAGATGCCATAGATACTGCACCAATTGCTTTATCGAATCGAGATCTCGATGCAAGAGATTTTTTGGTCGGTCCGCAACAACTTCTTGGACTCGATCATGCTATATTACAAAGTATTGATCGTTGTCGTACGTAAAATTTAATTTAGATTTTAAAGTAAGATATATATTTTTTTAACATTATTTACAAATAAATATTTCTCTATACAGCTACGGAAGATTTAAAAAGAAAAATGTCTAGTTGCATTCTTGTTGTTGGATCTGGAATGAAATTTCAAGGAATTGGAATGTGGCTTCACAATCGTATATCTCTTCAAATTCCTTATATGTACAGAACTGGTAAAGATTAAATTGAGTATTAATGATTTTTTTATTTATCATAAAAAATATGTTACCAATAATAATGTATAATTAATAACCTTAGAAATATTAGATATCATTACACAACCAAAAGAAATGGATCCAGGGATAACCACATGGAAAGGTGCTGCAATTTTAAGTTGTCTGGAATCTGCACAAGAGTTATGGATTGGCAGAGAAGAATGGGAACGTTTTGGAGTCAGAATACTAAGAGAAAGAGCTCCTTTTATATGGTAGATTAATGTTTCATTTGTAATTGTATTTAAATGTTTTTTTTATCACATGTATATTTATTATTTTGTATTTGTCTCTCTTAGAAAAAAATATTGTAAAATATTGTATAAAAAGTAATACATAAGATAAATTAATTGTTTTATAGTAATTCAATCATTTTAATTTTATTTGTATCGTTAGGATGATACATAGCAATATCTGCTTCCACTAAAAATTTAGCGCAATCAAATATTTCTGGTATTACATCCACATAAATGTCATCACCGCCTTTTGTATATGCAATTACCAATTCCTTAACATAATATAATTTTATATTTTTATACAATAAAATAATTTTCAAGAGATAAGAAACATTATATTACTTACTGACAGAAGATGAGAGAAGTTTTCATTTTTTGGAAATATTATTTCCACTATCTGACGCTATAAATGAATAAAAGAAAAGAAAGTAAATACAACCGATATAAATCTCTTCAAACAAAATTGACAGAAGAAAAATGATACTTACTAAATCTTGCTTAGTTTCTTTAAATAATTTTTTACTGATTCGTAGTTCGTGTTCATACGTATTTTCCTCCAGTAATTGTGCAGAAGTTAAATACATTTCACGCATCTTATTAAAACCGTTCTTTTTATCTTGTAAACTGCAATATCAAAAAATGATTACAACGATATTAATCTTATTTATTATTTAATCTAATTTCTTACTAATTAATATCCTTTTCGATGATCTGCAATTCTTCTTGCGTTTTGTTTAACAAACTTTCAGCATTAACGATCTCTTTTTCTAAATCATTAAGCGTATCTATATGAATATCAGTTGTATTAGGTATAGGATAATTTTTAGGCGGTTTTTTTGGAATATATTTCAGTATACTACTAGCCATCGTGTGTTGTTTCGTTATAACTTCATCTGATGTGCATGATTTTTTCAAAGCACTAATTGTATTATTTTCTAACGTAGTTGCTAAGTCATCAATTTCTTTACACAAAAGTTCTTGCAAATCTGTTAAATCTTCATACGTATCTTCTAGAGTATACTCCATATTTTTATTCTACAAAATAGTGTTTTAAATTTTATATTATTTTCAATCTTACTTGCAGTTAATAAAACTTTTTTAAATATAACAGAAACATATATGTATTAAAGAAATGAATTCATTTAATAAAATAAATTAAACATAACTAAGAACATGTGAGTTTAAAGTGTTAACATTTTTAAAATATTGTTAAAAATATTATCATATATAAATTTAATATTATTAAATATAATTATATTTACTATTATATATTCTTTATAATTTCTTTAAAATATCAACCACAAATAAACACACAAACACAACAGGAAAGTTCGTTTGATGTTACTAATGCAGAAATGTTTTGAAATAGGTACGATAGTAATTCACGTGTTGACCTACAGATGTCTCTCTTTCTCTTTGTCCCTCCCTCTCTCACTCTCTCTCTAACATTATAAAAAAAAAGAAAAGACAAAAATACAATTCCAAACGTGATGCATACATACATTGGATTTATATAACGGCAGCATAATACATAAATAAGAAGAATAAATAATACTATATTTTATTATACAATGCTATTTTTTTATAACACTGTGTATAAATTTTAATATATTATCAAAAGTCGTAACATCAAAGTTTGAATATCTGTAATTTTTTCATGTTATTCTCAATCAAAATATTATATTGTATAACAAATATTTAAAGTGAATAAACGCCCGTAGAAATTGGTGCAAAATATATGCAACAATAAAATATTTGACTATGACAGAAGACGTAAATAAGTTGGGTGATTATTTCGAACGTTCACTTAAAAACACCACAAAATCCAATGTAAGAAAATTACTAAAATATCTTTCAATTGTTTGCTTATTTATTTATTAAAAACATAATGTTTGTGCATAGGTTTTAGAATGTCGTGTTTGCGAAGAAGTTTTTACTGTCGACGGTATAAAGGTGCCACGATTGTTGCATTGCGGTCATACAGTATGTCATTCGTGTTTATTACGATTAAGACCATGCATGTTAAATCAACAATTCCTTCTCTGTCCATTCGACAGACAACCAACTGAAATAGATAAGACTGGTATTCTTAGTCTAAAGAAAAATTTTGCGTTAATCGAACTCTTAGAAAAGTTGGAACAGTCTAACAATGATAAAGCTTTCATGCTGGAAAGAGAAAGACTTCAATCGAATCAACCTTGCGACGAAGATGAAAGTCATATGGCTGTACTGTATTGTACAGTATGTACTACTCATTTATGTGAAACTTGCGATACCGCTACTCATTCATCAAGAACGCTTTGTAAACATAAGCGTGTACTTTTATCAGAAAAACCACGTGAAAAACCTAAGTGTCCAATACACTCAACGTACATAGCCAATTTCACTTGTACTCAACAAGGCTGTTACAATTCCTTGATGTGTTACTTGTGCAAAGATTATGGTCGACACAGTACACATAAGGTAAATATTTCTTCTTCGCCTTATAGGTCCCTTTTTGACATTTTACCTGTAATTCAAATTATAGTCAGCATTGGTCGAAGTGGAAGCCAAGAATATAAGAAAGTCAGTAATAGCAGCACTACAGAAGATGACTCAATTTATGGAGAGTATGAGAGATACGGCACAGAGAATAGGTATCTCGAATTAGTCCTTCTTTATTTTATTTCCAACCAATAGAAAATATCTTGTTCTTTAATGCTCTGTTTATTAGAAACTGTTATACAAGAATTAGAAGGCTGGGCGATTGAAGATGCAAGACAACGAGTACGTCAACACTTTGAAGAACTAAGAGCATTATTAGCAGAGCAAGAAAAGACTGCATTAACATGTATAGATACAGAGACTCGAAGTAGATTATGTGCTTTAAGACAACAACAAAAAGATCTGACAATAACAAGATCGCAGGTGGCTGGTGTATGTATTCAGTGTGAAAGCATTTTAGATTCTGAAGATTGGAAATTACTGAGCAGTGCGGAAAAAGTTAAAGAAGTTTTAGCCACATTAGAAAAGCAACAGCAACATTATGCTCAATTAGGGCCTGATTTTCTCAAACCCGAATCATCTATACCTATTATATTTAGCAGGGTTTGTACATAATATACTTACAGATAGACAGAAAATTTAATACATACATTTTCATATATTATATATTAAAACTTTTTCTTGACAGGACAATCGTGTACATATAGGTACAAAAATTGATATGAGAGCAGTGATCTTAGGTTTGGATGGTGCAGGGAAAACTAGTATACTTTCTGCAATGAGAGGCATTACTCTTTCAGCACCTCCAATTTCAACTATTGGATTTAATGTAGAAAGTATGGAATATGAAAATCTTGTATTCACGCTTTGGGATGTTGGTGGTCAAAATAAATTCAGACCCTTATGGAAACATTATTATCACAAAACACAAGCTGTTATTTTTGTGGTCGATGCTAGTGATAGATCTCGCTTTGAAGAAGCTCAAAATGAATTGTCTAAAATAGTCAATGAAAAAGAACTGAAAGATGCTTTGTTTTTAATATATGCTAACAAGCAGGTAGAATATTTAAATGCATATTTCACAGATAATATGTATACTGTATACAATGAAAAAAGTATTAATTTCAATTATTTTTATTTGCAAATATATATATTTTACTCATTTAGGATTTACCAGATTGTGCAAGTGTAGAAGAACTGACTGATATTCTGTGTTTACAAAAACTTTGTTGTGGACGAGCCTGGCATATTCAAGGATCATCTGTAATTACGAACATTAGTGGAGCTACACAAGGTCTCGACTGGTTAACACAACAACTTGGAGCGCATGAAACATTGTATACAATACCTATAACATCATGATTGGTATTGACTGTAATTTAATTCAATTCTACAATTTTTGAAATAAGGTATTCATTAGAAACAAAATTAGTACTCAAAAATATTGTTCCATTTAAGTTTTAATATATATATTTGTAACCTTAAATATATATGATAAACGATAAGTAATAAAATAAAAAGAACGTGATAATATAGATATACATATGTATATATTTATTATAATTTGACATAAAATTTCCATGACAACATAACAAACAATTTTTAAGAATAAATAGTCGAATCACATCTAGAAAAGTCTTATTTATTCGTTTTTTATTACATGGTTATTGGTTGTTGCTTTTGATACATAATCATACCAAATATCATTCAGTCATGTTTGCACACACCCAACACTCTTACCTTTAAAGGGAGCGAGTTTTATTATGCGTACACTGTACGTAAATGAAATAATATATATATATGTATATATATATAATATAGCATCGTTAAATTACATCTCAATTACTTTTAATGTATATAAAAACACTTGACAAACAAAAACGGAACAACTTAGTGTCTTTTATGGAGCTGTGCCGTTGAAGGACACGAGAGACAAATATACGAATTTCTATTTCACAGTTTTTTTAAGTACAGTGTACCTTAGGCAACACAGCACTGACTACTTGCACAATTAACGAAATACTTCACGATTTAATAGAGACCAAAGGCTTTTCAACTTTAATGTCATCACAAAAATCATCCTTCGATGTTCTAAGGTGTAATGGAAGTTTCGTCTGATTAGAATGAAGTATAAATTATTGAAGATCACTCAATTAGTTGCATTAAGAAAATTTCTTTTTAAGAATGATTTTGTGCCCATGGGAGTTAGTGCGTGTCGCAGCTACACAGCTCCTGGAATACAGTCTATCTTTGCGTCAATTGACACAAATATTTACAACTCATCATGTTCCTGAAAATAAAGTAGTTGTTTAATTCATTTAAATAATAGAAATAATGATAAATGATACAATTAAAATAATATTTTCAGTAACGAGGAATTCCACCTTTTTATCTTTCAGGTAATCAAGAAACGGTTTTTTTCATCATATAATATATTTACAACTAGACACAAATAAAAAATTACTTGTGATCAAATGTTTAAAATATTAATAGTATTATTTTCTATTACATACCTCTACATCTGGAACGCTATTTTCTTCCTCATCGGCATCTTCGTCTTCATCTTCATCTTTGTTATCCTCAGATTCTTTACTTTCCTTTTCTCTCTGTTTCCTTTCTTCTTCTTCTAACGCTTCTTTCATTTTCTTTTCACCTTCCTGTAATACACATGGATAAACATCTTTTAATTACAAGTAAAAGAAATTAGAATTAACTTAATTAATGATACATGTTGAATTCAGTAACGAGGAATTCCAATTATTTGTCCTTCATTTAAATCAGAACTATAAACAAAGTCATCATAAAAATTACTCTTACTTAATAATTAAATAATACAGTTAGCACATTACTTACAATAGTTGGTTTCCAGACTTCTTCACCGAATTTACGAGCTACCTCCACATCATCTGTGATCAAGACGTTGTCGAAGATCGTACCAGATTTGACTTGCCATAAATCAAATCCAATACTACATATTTCATTTCTTAGGTACAATGAAGGATCAGGGGTATATTCTGGATTATCGATTTCAGGATGAACCCAAGGTCCTTCGTAATTGGGGTTGTCAATTTGTTTAGGCTTCCATTCACCTTTATATTCAGGATTGTCAATCATGGGAGCTTCCCATTCTCCGTCCATTTCATCGTCCCAATCTTTTGGCTTGGTAGCCTCTGGGTCAGGTATATGTTCAGGTTTGTCCCAATCTTCTGGTTTAGTGTCAGAAGGATCTGGAATAGTAGGCTTATCATCCCAATCTTCAGGTTTGCTTTGTGATGGATCCTTAATTTTCTTTGGTGGCAAGAAATCCCAGTCGGCTTCCAATTCTCCAGATTCTACTTCTTCATTATCAATGAGAACCTAATATAAAATGTAATACATGAAATATGAATTATCTCATAAGAGATCCAAAAAAGCTATGAAAAATAATATTTTATATAATTGATATAATAATATGATAATGATAATATGTTGACCTTTGCTACATAAATACAATAAGTGATAAAAAACTTATGTATAATAATTAAGCAAGATAATCTTTTCTCTTCGAGATCCTATAGCACCCATCCTTTACTATCTATCAAGAATTTGTGACTCTAGGCTCGATTCTTTAATATATATATATATAAAAAAATATACATATACATAAATTACGACTTATATTTACCTTGTAAGTATTGTCAGGCTTAACAATTAATGTGTACAAATGCGTATAGACATCATCTTTGCATCGGATATCTTTGTTAATCAACAAATTCTTTCCTTTGTAACTGAAGATGACATGCACTTTCTTTGTACCCGCTCCACAAATATCAGGTCCTATATAAAAGTATTTTGGACTGATATAAAGAATAAGATAAGAAATCCATATACATATATATATATACATATACATAAATAAATAAAAAAATAATATTTATAAAATACAAATGTATCAACTTTAGGTAACCGGAATACCACAGTGGTATGCCAGGGCATATCGAAGACCATTTTACTTTTCGAGTTCCTATAGCACTTGCCATCCAAATGTAGATTGACCAGTGACTCTTAGGCTCGATTTAAAAGATTATTATTGAATTCTTACCAAACATGATCTCATAAGGAGTTTCTCCGTGCATATCTTTTTGATCCAATTTGCAATCGAATACTTTAACGTATCCTCCTCCACAATCGATACTCTGCTCATGTTTAACCGTAAATTGAATAACGAGATCTTTATCTTTATTACTGAATGGTGTAAATTTCTTGCTTAAAGCATAAAACCTAGCATCTTGCGAAGTTTGGATACCTATAATAAAATAATATTTTTATCTACTACTTACATATACATTTTCAATAGTTGAATATTTAATATAGTAGAATATTAAAGTAACAAGACACAATAGTTTGAAAAATATACCTTTATCATTTTCTGGATCGTTCCAAAATTTCCCATGACTTAAGACAAACTTTCCAAATTCTTTCCCTGGATGTTCAGAGTATACCCAATTCTTTTCCCACGAATCTATACACGTAAAATTAATAATATTATATAATAAAAAAGTCATTGAACAAACAATACAAATTTTTCAAAAATTCTAATATACTTTCTAATTATTAGAAACGTATAAAGCTAATTTGATTTGAAAATTTGTTTACATATTTTTGTTCATTCTTTTTAAAAATAAATAATTAAGTATCTATAAAACATTTAGAAATCGATTAAATGATTAGGAAAAAAAAACAGATACGATTGTCTACCTGAACATTTGCCACGAGGCAATTTTCTACGAGAATGATATTCATCTAAATGATGTATGTGACTAATGCACAGACACGTATGCATGATATATGTATGTCGTGTATATATAGTCATATGGGGTATTAAAATCTATCTTATCGTAGGAAGATCAATTAGATCATTAATTATGTATGAATGTATGTGCGTGAGGAATTAAAAAAGCAACTCGTATAAGGAAAAGTATGAACATTTCGTTCTCGCGTCAATTAGGGAAAAAAGATGTGCCCGTTTTTGTCTCATCCCGGTGCAGAGTGAGAGAGATAAGCATGGCGTAGTCGACATAAGGCCGGTAAATTAAAGCTTAAAACATTAAATTGTAATAAGAAAAGTTAGCAGGGTGTGGTTCCAGTTGAGAAACGATGCAAAAATGGTGGGTGTTGATTTTTCCGGGCTCTACTTAAAGAAAATGATCGTTTAAGTGTAAGGATAGAAAAAGATGCAAGATAATGCAGAAAAATAGGAAAGCGTTCTTTTTTTTCTTTTCTTTCTTTTTTCTCGAAAGTTCTTGACTTTCTTCTTTCTTTCTTTCTTTTCTCTTCCTTTTTTTATTTCTTTTTTTAAATTAGAATAAAATATCGTTCGTACGTCAAACTCACCATCAGTGAACTTTTCCTCGAAGTAGACTTCTGCAGTGACGAAGGAAATCGTCAGGACGAAAAGAAAAGAGCAAAGTTGTCGCATTTTTAGACGTCGAAACGAAATAGTACGTTCGACGAAGACGTTTACTTCACAACGATCTACCTGATAATGCCTGTACGACGGATGTGGTTGGTAAGTTTAGCACCCGTCGAGATAGACAGATGGAGAACGGTGATTGGCGGGAACCTCTCGACCAATTGGCTCCGACCACGCTCGAGCGATCGTAGTACCCCCACCGTTATGTACGAATGCAGGAACTATTGTACTACCAATAGTTGTTTTTCCTTATCTTTCGTCGATACAACAGAATGACTTTTACATTTTAAATCATTATAATTATAATTGTTAATTTATATATAATTAATATATATATTAAAATTATTTATTTTTAAGCTATCGAATAATTTTGTTACTCGTTTATTTCTTTACTTCTTACTTATTAAAATTAATATAATTTTTAAATAGAAACAGGAAGTACGTGTAAAGAAAGCGTTGATTGGTTCTTTCTAAGGCGCCCATCTTGTTTCGAATTAAATTCAAATGTAAATTTTACTATTAAAAGTTATAAATATTAACATTGTGGAATACGAATTTTAAACGTTTTACTTGTATTCATTAGATTATGACTAATTTAAAAATGAATAAATGATGCAATTAAAACATTATTACAAATATTGACATATAAATATCGCTATTTCAGATTGTTAATTGATCATTAATTGGAAATCAAATGATGAGAAAATATAAATATTTAAATATCGTTGAACATTTTTTATTTATTTTATAACAAAACTACAGAGTTAGAATACTATTTCTGTTGTCATTTCGAGCATAACATGTTACCATAGTTACGTACTTGTAGAAGCATTATGGCGTCAGTATTATTTTAATCGAGGAACCCTTCAAATATACAAATTTGAAGTTGATCATACCTAATTCATTCATTTACGTATTAAATTTCTACGTGTACTTAGAAAAAAATGTTGCATTCCAAGGCAGCTGCAGCGCTAATGCGTTTGAAAGAAATCGATAAAAAATATAAAATGAGAACGGAGGAAAGGTATGCGATGAACTCAAGTACTGAAAGCACAATAACAAGTCCATCAGTGGAATATTCTATGAAAAATAAACAAAAATTAAATAATATAAAAATACCTTTAAAATCTAAACTTGACGTGAGAATGCCTAAAACGCATATAGAAGTGGAAAAAGAGGAGAAAGAAGAAGATACGTCACGGTCTACAATAAAAGATAAAGTTTCATCGACTATAGTAGTTGATATACAAACAAAATCGGCGGAAAACATAAACGAAGAATTGTATAATAACTCCTCATTTTCGGTGATCGAAACCAATGAGAATATTTCAACGAAATCAGAAGAAAAGGAAGTTTCTCAAACGGATCAAAATGAAAGCATTGAAATCGAAGAAAGTAAAGAAGAAATATTAGAAAAAGAAGTTCTAAAAATGAAAGACGACAATAAAGAGATCATCGTAGAAAATTCACTAATTGATAGTGAATATAGTAATTCAAAAATTCTATCGGAAATAGAAGAATATGAATCGTTGCCTGTTGAACAAGCGGCGAACTATGTCAATGATACTTTCGAAGAAGCATCGAGTACGACATTGTCAACGATGAAGTCTAACGATGATCTAAGAGGGACGAATAATGAGTCGTCTAATTTGGAGGAAGAGGAAGAGAAAATTGAAGATAGCATGAGATCTGGCGTAAAGAAAGTTGATATTGTATTAAACAAGGATTTTATACGTGAACGACAAGAAACAGAATACTCAAGGTATAAGAATAATTCATTTTCACTAATTTTAAAAATAAGGAATCGTAACATTACTTATTAACCAATCCAATTTATAAAAATGTAAACTTTTTAATAAATTTATATTTTTTGTATGTTCCAGTGAAAAACAAATAGTCGAGTTAGTACCACCTAAATTAATAGAAAATACCAGCGAATGTGAAATCGGGCTTAACAAAGAATTATCGAATTACGTTAAAACGATCGAAAGTATTAACGGAGACGTAAGCGACATAACACCCGTTCAACTTTTGAGATCATCTAAACAGGCAGAAACGTTTTTTCGAAATCGTAGAAAAAGATATAAACGCCGTCCAATAGCAACGAAAAATGATAACGCAACAGATTCTTTTAAGAATGATAAGTCAGAATCGTTGGCCACGTCAAAGAATAATCGTCGATCGTCAAATTTAACCTTGATAAATGATAGTAACAAAACGGATAATCCTCCAAATGAAAAAATAATTCTTGAAAAGAACGAGCAAAGAAATAAAGAGGATAAAAGAATAAAATTATCTGATAAAGATAAAGATTCAATTGCAATGATGTCTTCTAATAATAATCGTTTTCAGGCGGATAACAATCTACGAGTGGTATTGATAAAATTATAAAAATAATTTTCTCTTCTTTTTCAATGTTTTCCTATTGATTTTTACAGTAAACATTTAACATTTTATTATTTTTCTAATTTCTCAGCAGCAAAATAAACGGAAAAAGAAACGAACGAAATCACACGCGTTTCATAGATCCTCGAGAACTGATAAGACAACAGATTTTAACGAAGATAAATTTTCGAGATTTGATATTAAACAAATGTATCGTCTGCAGAAACAAATCTCGAAACTTGTTGCTGGGCTTCGTTTTAATGATACTCCTTATATGAAAAAATTCGAACCAATTTTGTTCAAACCTCTCGAATTTCCAAATATTGCTAATTATACTCGTCCTGGTAAAGTGACTTTCTTTTTAAATATAATTTTTTTAAATGCTACGCGTATTTCGATTTGATTTTTTATATTTCATTATTTTTCATTTATAGATACGAGTGTTGAATTAACGAAAGAAAATCCGTACATTGAACTTTATGAGAAACTAGCTACAATAAGACACTGGCTCAAAGATCAATATAATTTTTATCAAGTTCGTAGTAATTTGGTACAGATAATTAACGAGAAATACGTTCCTATGAGCCTCGAAGACGCGAAGACGGTGAGAGTCTCTTGATTATCATCATCTATTAATTTTCCAATTAATCTTAATATCATTATAATAAATAATTTACAAATTATAGGTGATACGACGATTACAAAAATCACCAATCGAAGCGAGATAACGATTACTATAACAACAAATTTTATGTAGATCAAGAAAAATATTGAATAGTTTATAAAAATGATTTGTATGTTTCCTTAGTAAAAAAAATTAATTTTCGTATCTTCTTATAGTATTTACATACATATATATATTTTGTATTAATATTATTGTAACTAACTGACAAATAGTAAATCTTTCAAACTCCATATATCCTCCATATATCACCATAATAATTACATAATGCATCAATTATAAAATCAATCAATTATAAAAGATCACCAATCGAGTATATAGGTCAAGAAAAAGATCTGATTTGTAAAAATAGATTTATACATTTTCTAAGTAGAAAATGAATTGTATATCTTTTTGTGTTATCTAGATTTTTTTTACTTATATTATTGCATTTCACTGACACATAATAAAGTGTCTCGTTTGGAGTAAAAAAGAAGATTATAGTATAAAGTTTGACGTACGTCGTCAGGTATATGTCCATATACCTATATTTCATATGACTAGATGTAAAAATTCATGGCTTTTGATGAGCTTCGATCAATGAGAGTCTACCTTTGCTAGAATTCATCGGAGCAAGCCGATATGCACGTGCGTATAACGGATGCGCAATGGTCCGATGCGTGGGGGTGATTACCGGCGTACTCCATTGATGTGCCATAGTCACGCTCAGTTCTCTCCTTCTTCTTTAGTGTTCTACGAACCTTCTCCGTGTAGAAAGGTTCTAACGAATTTCCTCATATGACGTATCATTGATGCACTTTATCAACTTCTTTATTATTTACCTGAAATATTCAATCAATTAATACATTTTCAATCAATTGTTATTTAATAATAAGTAATTTTATTTATTTTTAAGTATGTCAGTGTTATTTCATTTTGATTCATACTAGTAGCTAAACATTCAATCACATAAGAAGAAAAAGAAAAAGAAGCGCGGGCTTTCAAGATTCATCACTGTACCCATAGGTAAGTTTTTGATTATCGATTAAACAATTATGAACATTGTTAATAAATTATAAATATTCTTGAAAATATTCTTTAGTGTCAGATCAAATTTTGTCGTAGTTTAATTCAATTTTCTTAAATTTGAATTTTCTGAGCGTGTTGTAAAGATAAACATCGAATCCTGAAAAAAAAAGAAATAAATATTATTGTTTAAATAATTTTGATTAAATATTGACACATTATATTAATGTATGTATATACTTAATTATTGTCTTCCTGTTTTGCTTTTACAAATTGCTTCAATGCAATATAAATGATGTCTGTTAGAAATCGTGTGTTGCAATGAAATTGGAGCGATCCTGTTGTTGAATACATTTCAAAATCCTGACACAACATTTTATCCTTCGAAGGAAATGAATCGAGGTTGATCGCGGATGATGTTTCACCTATGCAAGAAAATATTTTGCAGAGCTCGTGTAACGTCTCATTTAAACGAGGAAATAACTTCGATATTATTCGATTTGTAAATAAAATTCTTTAATATCCGCTTCTTGCAAAACTTTAAAAGATTTATTATATGCTATATATTTCTTTCTTATTTTTGTATATAATAGACAAGATTTATTTCTTTTTTTTATGTACCTATGTATAAAAAAGTTTTACGAATGTGAGATTATGAGAAATTTTTTTATCCAGATAATCTTGCTATTTTTCTTATAATAATATTGTTATCCGATGCGTTCACACATACGTTCTTTATTTAATTAAATTTTTTTTTAATATCTTCATTGAACTTTCTTTGTTAAAAATAATATCATAATACAACCTTTAGAAAAAGGTCAGAGCAATAGTTAGAGAGGTCAACCGAGTGCAACATAAGTGTTCTATGTTGGATCGATAGATCAGTCACACAGGCCGCGGATGCCATAATATTAATTAATTATATCACTAGCAATTTTGATTTACTATACTTAACGGGTCATTTCAGACCCTTTCTTCGATGCTTTACGCTTATATAGGATACCTCTTTTCTATCTTCTGCAATAAGAGTAAACTTATTGTGTTTTAACTTTAACTAATATACACACGTATACACCTTACTTTACTTCCATAAAATAATAAAATCAGCGACGTGTAATTAAAAAAAGCTCGGTTGGAACGAACGATTACTTGAACTTTGATATTTACGATCCAGGATACTTGTAATAGATAAATTGCGTTGAAAAAAATGTTCATTATTAGAATTCCATACGATTGACCTGCATCTTTTTACCTCAAGACGCGTTCATCTTATGTATTGCTAATTAAAAAAAAGAAAGAACACTTTTCTTTTTCTAATTAATGACAGATATTTTCCTTCTTCTTTATGCTGCAATCGATGAGTTGGACGATACGTATTCTATTTCACGTTTGTTCGTAATTTGCTAGCAAAAAATTTCTACATAAGCATCCTTGAATTTATTTTTCTTTTTTACAGTTTTTTTTTCTTTACAATCTCTGCTATCTGAAAAAAGATAAAAAAATATATTTATAAATGGATACGCGCGCGCGAAGAAATAAATGATTAAAACTATGTTTCCATATATAGAATATAAGTGGAATATTCTATATAATTTATATATATATATATATCATATTTATTTCTATATATTATATATTATATTATATTATTTTATTTCATATGTGTGTTGTGTATGGAATATATGTATAATTTCTATCATTTATTTCTTCGTATTCACTTTTATATTCTCTTTAAAGTTGCAATAGAAATTCCCACAATGTGAAATAACAACAACCCATTAATGAAGTGCGTAAATATTAAAATATGAGAATACTTAATTCGTTCATTAGTAGAGTTTTACTTATCGAGAATCGTCGGATGAACTATTCAAAGTCGATTCAATTAAAGATAATATGAGAATTACTATTTTTATTGAATTTTTTCTCATCTCTCAGATTTAAATCAAATGAATTTTGAATTGCCCATTAATCAACACTCTCTCGACAGCAAATTACAATCTCAAGTGGATTCGCGAAAAATTATCATTTTCGAAAGTTGGATCTCGGTCCATAAAAGTTTCAAAAGCCCTAAGTTAGAATATTATTGTATAGTAATCGAAGTAGTAGTGGTAACAGTTACATCGATCTGTTGCAATAGATATTTTAATGAAATATAGAACCTTCATGTGTTTTTTTTTTTTTAAAAAGTCGCATATATTTTTCCTCATTTTCTATGGCTTCTCTCAGATCGCTTATAAGTGAATCGGAAATTACTTGAGAACGATCAGTGATGAATCATCACGTGTATATCGAGGGGTTGCATCGAATAAGCGTTGATTATGTTATTGGTACGATTTAATGTTTTTTCTCCTTTTAAATGTACTCGATATTATATCTGAAATAAGATATGTAAATAGAATAAATTCGAATAAATTCTTTGCAAATTTTAGAAGAAGATGAGTTTTATTTTTTATTTTCAAAGAAAAGGTATACCATGATATAATATATTTTTAAATATCAAATAAAATATAAAAGAGATAGGGAGAGAGAGAGAGAGAGAGGGAAAGAGAGAGAGAGAGAGAGACAGCAACTGCAGGATAGAAATAGTCCATACTGGTTCAAGCATTCCTCGGGCACAAGTCGTTTTTGTTTTTCAAAATAAAGTTACTTTTGCACTCTTTCCTTCCTTTTGTACGGCGTCGAAGAACAGACGACTAAAAATACATTTTACTCGATGAAAGGGAAAAATGGTCTCATGGTTCAGGATCTCGAAGGTTGAGAAAGTTCATTGCTCGTTATATACATTCAACATATATATATCAACATATTATTTCTCAAACTACACAAAGCTGTATTCTGATCTGCAAATAACAAAAAAAAGAGAAAGAAAGAAATATACTGGGAAGAGAGAACTATAAAATAAAGGATTTTCTTCAACGAGACAAGGCCAAAATAAAGTTTGCCAAGTCTATTTACCTAGCCAGTAGTCTGTTTCCACTGTTCACTGAACTCAACGAAGGCATCATTGTATAGAAAGGACAATGGCTTTTCATTCAAAGTATTGACGTATAAAACAAAATCTACTTTTTCAGTAACTACAATTTACTTCATTTCAATATTTCTGTAACAATGACATTACCTGTAAAAGATAATATTTACATTTTATTTTAGATTACATTTAATTATATTTTTGCAATAAATTCAATTAATTTTAAAATTGGAAAGTTTAAACCTCTTTTCTAAAAGATATTAATGGCACAATAGCGGCACCCAAGAAGTGCAGAGTGTTAATATATTTTTATTATTACTTTGCATTTCTATATGTATATGTATGTTTATGTATATGTATTGTATATATATATATATATATATATATACCGCCGTCCGCACAGTATTTACGCGAGACGGCGAGACGGCTTCATGCAGCGTTATAACGTGGCGGGAGAAATAGGCGGTTAAAGCGGCGCTCCCACGAGCCGGGAACCAACAACAACGATGCCGACATCTTCTGACGTTGCCGGCGTCATCGACCACCATGATCCCTCTTTAGCTTGTCTCTTCTCTCTCATTTTCTCTTTTCCTCTCTTCCTCTTTCTCTTTTGCTTCCCTTTTTGCTTTGTCATATTCACTGTCTCCTTCTTTGTTGCACTCACGTATACCCATGAATAATAACACAAAAAGAGAAAGAAAGAAACACACGTATATACTGTATGTGTATGCATGTATTTACAGTGAACAAAGCGTGTCAGATCGTACAGAAAGACATACAAAATCTCCCTCCCAGAGAAAATTAACTGAGATTTCGGTAGTGTCACGATAATCATCTTTAAATCCAATTAATCTTCGTTATACTACCACTGTGCTTATGACAAGTTTTAGATAAGATTAAAGCGCACACTTTGTTTAAGGGAATACTGACCACCGAAGCTTTGATTTAACTGAAAAAAATCTCTGAGAGAAAATAATTATTATGTTAAAGAAGAAATGATTTCAATCACGTGACAGGAATCAGGGAACATTGTCAGACATATAATTTCATTTGATACTCGATGATTATCTTGACTTTCTTCGTATGAAATGTTATTATTAGGACCGGTCATCCTGACTTTTGTTCGACCATTCGTTATTTCAATTCATGAAGAAAGATATTATTACTTTTGTATATGTATATATATTTGATAGTCGATAATGCAGGTCCCCGTCATCCCTTTTAACTTTTATTACTAGTTCATTGTCTCTTCGAAGGTTTCATAAGTATTTTTCTTTTCTTTTCTACTTTCATTCCTGTTTTTATCTTCTTCTTCTTCTTCTTGCTCTTCAGACTCTGTCTTCCTTCCGTCAATCTTTCCTTTCTTCTGGGAGTCCCTCAGAAAGGCCTCTCGCTTTCGCACTGGATCACCTTGGTTGTTGTGTATTACTTGACGACGACTCTTCACCTTACTTACTTATTATTACTACCTCAGCGAGATCGAATCTCTCTCATAAAATCAATGGAAGAACATCTTCCTTTCTTTTCCTCGGCACGAGTTATGAACGTCATCTAAAAATAACGGGAGTGGAACATCACTTACTTTCAATAGGAAAAAATTGAAAAGTAGACAAAACGAATAACGTATTATACTTACCATTGATTTTAGAATCTTCAATCTATGCACCTGCAAATGTGTATACATACATAAAATAGATTTAAAGAAACATTTAAAAATTGTTTGAATTGAATTACTGAGAGAAAGATAAAGAGAACATAAAGCATGGCAGTTAGTTCGAGCAGCATGCGAAAGGAACGATTTTCACAATGCAACATTCGATCCTGAATATAACCCGTTTACGTCGCCCACGCAATGTTTCTAATCTCTCGACAGTTCGATACCTTAACACACAAGGTGTCCTTTTAATTACTATTATAAACACCATATTATATAATTTTATTTACCCATATAAAAAAAATAAATAAATAATATACTATACAATTTTGCCCGTATCAAATCTTGTTTGCACAAAAATTTATTTAGTATTTCATTAAGATTGAATTTTACATTTCTTATTTATTCTACGTGGAATCGATACCTTTGTACGAAAGGAACACCCTATGCGTATATATATACGTATAAGTACGATACACTTCGTATAACCATGGAACCCTATTCGCCTTAATATATGTGTATATGTATGTATGTGTTTATTACGAAATCCAACCGAGTTACCCAAGATCCCGATGTGACCGGCAGTTTCTCTTTGTTCCAATGACTGCCTTCTAAATAATCAAACAAATCTGTATATGTGTTCCCTCGTTGTTTTCGATGGGTACGTTTCGATGCGTTTCCGTTTGTAAAAAGAGAGGGAGAGAGAGAGAGAAAATGTTCTTACGGATAAGAACTCGGTAATCCGATAAAAATCTTTAACATTTAGCAATAAAGAAATACTGTGTAAGTACTTCCGGTTGATTTTAAAGATAATTGGACTTTCAACGTGATTTTATTTTCAATGAAATATAAAATAAAATAAAAAAGAAAAAAAAAAGAAAGATCATTTATGATCTCTTTATAGGGAAGATATCTTACACATCGTACTTCTTCATCCTGTTGTCCTGAATGTTCTTACTTATACGCAGGACACAATATAAGAGGACAGGCCAACTGGAATCCAGGCGAGCAAAGACCGTCAGCTTACGTACTGCAGGTTGCATAACGGTTTCGCACAACATCCAGTATATAGTATCCGATGTCTGTGCAAAAGAAAAAGATGTCTATGTATATATAATTTATACATATATATATATTTATTTCTCGGTCGTATACACTTGATTCGAATCACGAAAAAAAGAAAGAGAAAAAGAAAAATAAAGATAAGAAAAAAGAAACGAGTTTTTAGTAACTTTACTCTTAAATAACGTTTTATCGATCACACGATTTTTTCTTTCCTATTTTTTTTTCAGTTTTTTCTTTCCTTTTTGTCAACGAGTTCATAGATTAAATCTAATCAAGTTCGTTGCTATAAACGTGTTATATTCGAATGTATATACCATTTCAAGCATTTTTTATTCTGAATATTCTAGAACGAGGTATATACTTACATGTACGGGGATAGTGGATTTTATATCGACAGTTTCAAATAATAAATCACATTGGGAACGTCAACCCATTCAATTGGAACAAACAGTGACAATCGCTTTAAAACGAGAAAATTATAGACTCGCTAAGCGTTCGTGCAGAACAATATTTCTTCTTAGGTCTATTAATATAAAGCAAGTATTATAATATATATTTAAATATATATTTTTTTAGAAATTTTCTTATAACATTTAATACTTACTTTAATATTTATACCAAAATACAAGATAAGAAGTTAAAAGAAAGAAAGAGGTCGTGAAACGAGAGAGATGAATCCTCGAAGGAAAATTACTTGAAGGTAGTCTTCTACTTTGTTTTAACGTCCTATGTAAAACAACTTAGTCATCTATTTTATTCTTTCGAACGTCTAGAATAATAATTAACGAGAAAAGTATGCAAATGTAAAAGATAAATAAACGTATGTATATAAGTGTCTACGTCTGCAGACAGAGATATTACCGTTCGATGGTCGAGCATTGAATTATATATCACAAAGACAACTTCTTATTTTTCTTCTTCTTCTTCTTCTTCATCATCATCTTTTTCATCATCATCATCTTCTTCTTCTTCTTCTTCTCTTTTGGTACACCGCATCCTCGTCTTCTTAAGGTTCTATCTTTTCCTTTTGAAGATCCAACTCTCTCGACCGCAAACGACTCACTCCATTTCGTGTGAAAGTAACCATTGCTAAGATCATCGGATATCTTCGTATACTTCCTAACAAAAAAAAGAATAAAAAATAGCAAATGAATCAAAACATATGCTCATTTGATCGTTATAAAATTGATCTCAACAGAAATGAAATTAGATAAGATCAAAAGAAAGGAAGATTACAGAGGAAGAACACCCACAGTATATAAATTTGATGTCTACTGTCATATTTTACTTTCACACGTTCGAAGATAGAAACGAGTAATTCGTTCATTTGGAAGGATTTGTGTGTGATTTTATCTTAAAAAAGAAAATTAATAGACGCGAAAGTCGCACACAATTGGGATTAGAAAGATATAAAGAAAGAGAGAGAGAGAGAGAGATTCATCATAAACCACTTGTAAGAAATGATTCTCAACTTTGCTAGATTGAAAAGAGAAACGAAATCGAGAGAGAATTTTCTCCAATGTAAGAAAGAGCTCTATGGATTGGCATTAATTGCGAATCAAATTTATATCAAATACCGAGAGGAGGATATTTTCAATGAAAATATGAAAGAAAGAGAGAAGATAATCAAACCAATCACAATAGATAATACATCATTTGAGGAAAAGAAAAAGAGAAAAGTTAATTTATCATCGAAGTCGAAAGTATTTAGTAAATGCAAAGAAGTATATAACAAGATGTTAAGTGTTATCAAATATGAAATTTAACAAAAAAGAAATCCACCCCCTCTCTCAAAGAAAAAATAAAATAATCAATTAAGTAAAAGGAACCATAATTACCTTACTCTATCACAATTTAATTTGTAATACTTTCTAAATCTTATTGTCTCTCTCTTGGAGTTTAATGATCTATTACAATATTATCATAATATGATTAGATTCTTATAATATTTAACTTGTCTATGGATATTTCAACGTGTTGCTTCTGTGAAAGTGTTCGACTTGCGTTAAATTCGTCTGGACGCCCACGATACGCAGATCCGATAACAAACACGCTGCCCAAGTAGAAAAAGAATAAGAAGTGTATAAAAAAGGAAGAAGAAGAAGAAGAAGAAGAGAAGGTAGAGGTGGAGGTGTAGGTAGAAATGGAAGTGGAGGTGGAGGAAAAGGGTTGGTTACACTTTTCTCTTATGTAATGCAGCTTGAGGTTTCTGCTCGGTCTAGCGTATACACGAGCCGCCTTACAAACTGAAAACAAAACGGAGAGGGCATTGTTTCATACATACGGTAATGTTGTTGTTTCTTCGTTCATGAAGAATAAAGAAAGATTTTTAATGGAGAAAGCGATTCGATGAGAAATAAATAACCAACGTCGTTTCATCGATTTTCTACAAATTCGTTGCACTCTCTTTGAGTAATGGCCATTTCTTTAGTTACCTTGCCTAATTTCCTGCAAATTAATATTGTTATTATAAATGATAATTTGATCGTGTAAAAAGGGTTGGTTAATTGGAGTATAGATATACTATATACATGTGTTCGTAATCGTTCGTACGTAAAATATACGAGCTCCTAAGGTTACGACCTCACCCGATGAACAACAACGCCGTCAAGAGTGTAGAATACTGCGAAGGTTCCATCGAAGAAAACCGGTATTAAGAGTCAATGAGAACTGGTTCGTGAAGAGAATATGATGTCACTTTCGTCGGGCATAGTACATGTATACCTGAAAAAAAATCAAAGAAAAAGAAATAAGAATAACGAATGTTATATACGTTGATCGAATAGTAAGAGATAGATTAAAGAGAAGTTAGATTTTGATTTTCTACTTTTCAGGGACATGTTGTGAAGTCTTTTATTATTCTACACAAGATAAGATCGTTACTTGAAAAGAGCGCAAGGCTAGTTTGTTGGTCAAGATTCTTCAAAAAATATTTCCTGATTTTCATATTGTATCTAATATTATTAAGTTAATTTTGTATGTTTATTTTCTTTAAAAAAAGAAAGAAATTGATTTTTGATTGATACTAAAAACAGGAAGGAAGACGATCTTTCCTTCGTCGATTCACTTTATGAATTCAGGACTCTTGTCGGCAAGAGATGGAAGGGAGCTAGGGTTCACCTTTCACCCTCGAGTAACTGTATAACGATGGAAAGTCAGATTATGCCAGGAGAGGTAGACGCCTGGTTAAAACCTGCTTCGATTACGCGTCGATTACTGGACTATCACGATGAACACGAAGGAGAGAGGCTTCTCTTCTCCTTTGTTTCACTTCTCTTCGCCTGCATCAGAATAATATATATATTTATGGAATACATATATATGTACAAAGATTTCTTAATATATCAACATGAATTTTGTACTAGAAAATGATGGAGAAAGAAAAAAAATAGAAAAAGTTTTACGTAAGGATTCACCAGCCGCTTCCGTTTCATATCGTTTAACTTTCAAACGTTTCTTATCTTGATTTAAACTCGTGGAAAGAATAAGAAGACGGATGTTTCTCCTCGAAATAAGAATTTTCTTGATTCAATTGATCAATAATTAATCATAACGAGTTAATAAAAATTTCGAAAAAGAAAAATTCATTCCTACAATATTTTCCAATATCAAAATGTTAAATACATTTGATCTTTAACTTCCAACACTAACTCGTTAGCATACCCTATTAAGTTACTTATGAAATTTATAAAAGTATTAAAAAAAAAAAGAAAAACAAGAAAAAGATAGCATTCTTCGTTATTGTTCCAAATAAAAAAATGATGAATTCATTCGAATTAGCTTGAAACGGTTGGTCATTAACATTTAACATTTCTTGATTTGAAATAAAACTCGGAAGAGCAAGCAAGTAGTTCGAGTAACGTATCAACAACAACCTCCGTGAAGGATTTACTCGTGCACTGAGAGAACTCGATCGTGATTCAGTTTACGGAGAGTGTGGGCGTCGATAACCAAATTGTGGCGAGGTGAGAGAGAAGTTTAAAAAAAGGAAAGAAGGGTTTATACGTTCCTCGACGACGAAGAGCACGCTGACGACGACGACGTTCTCTTCACGGTACCTCCAAGTGAAAGTCTCGAATGGCTGTTCAGTCGTGCGACGACGTTCAAAGTGTTCGGATTGTTCTTTCGCGTTCGTTCCTTACATATATCAACATCCTTTTTCTTGCCATTACTTCCTATTCTTTTCTTCCTTTTTTTGCGCTTAGTTTCCGTCAATTCGCTGGCCTTGAACGGTAAAAGACGATACGTATCTCCTGACCAAGGACGATCAACGTAAAAATAACTCGTGCAAACTGTAAATGGAAATGCAAGAATTTATTAACAAGTTTTTTCTTGTGTGTTCTTTCAAAGGGAAAATAAATCAATAAATAAATATAAGAAATGGTCCTTCATTCGCAGTGTACATTCGGTGATAGATCTCACCCCGTGTGAAAAAAAGTTTTATTCATAACAGACTTTCTTCTCTTTTCGAGTGAAAACTATAATTCGTCGTAAGTACTAACTGATTATTATATTTTTTTGTTTGTTTTATACAGGGATTTTTGAAATTGCAATAAATTCATCCATAGTTTTCTTGTTTGGAAGAGGATATCAATCCGGCAGTAGATCAAGACGATTGTTGTCAGACAGGTTGGCACACTAAACCCAGCGTTTTATTTTTCTTATCATTCTTCCAAATCAGTTTTTAATTAATTTGTTTATTCTTTATCGTTTAAACATATCTATATATTTCTCTATTATGTATTCTTATTCTTTAATTCAAGCATATATGCAATACATATAAAGATTGTTTATTAATCAAATAGTTGGGACAAAAAACAAAAATTTACTTTACTTATGTTAAAAGAAAATTCATCAATACTGAACTTTCATCCATATTGGACCATTTTTTTCGATATCACATTTTTAATAACCGCTCGCGATGTTGTCAGAATTACGTATATTCGTAGAGATATAGTAATACTCGTTCGATGGAACCAGTCATACCGGATAATTTCTTTTTTTTTTTTCTTTTCATAAGGAAAAAAATATGGATAAATTCTGAAAGAACGTGCATATTACAAGCTACATGATATATATACATACACATATATAATCTGGCTTGTAACCAAGTCGAGAGTCACTCTTCAACAATTGTGAAAGGTTTAACCTCGGATGTAGTAAAGCACCTTCGCAAATAGCGCTAATATCAACCCATCGAATTTGTTTCCGACCTTTCACGAATAATAGCAAATTATAGAAAACGAATGTATGTATGATAGTCCCCAAGAAAATAAAAAGAAACAAAAAAGTAAAAAGGATTTAATTCGTTTCTTTCAATATAATAAATCTACCCGAAATCATTTCCGCAAATATTTATTCTTGAAAAGATTTCTTCAAATATAATAAGATTTAACAAATTTTCCTTACGTACGAGTAAAGAGAGAGGTATTGTATTATATAATATATGTACCTGCACCGTCCACGTAATTAACTAGATAAAATGATCATTGAAAATAAAGCTAGGTAGACTTTTTGTAGGTGCATGAAACGTAATAAAAAGCGGTTCATCATCCCATATGTCGCTTGACCGTACCGGTTTCAAAGTTGAAAGACAGAAGAGAACAGCTTCTCTGACTTAACGCTAGAAATCATCATTGTTTTCTCATCAACGCCATCATCATCATCATCATCATTATCATCATTTTCTTCGTCGTCGTCGTCAAATGTCTTGATTATACCATAACGAACTTGGTACTTGGAAGATAAAGCTAGAAAATAAAAAAGATGTAAGGAAGGTGAGCAAGAAGGGAAGGAGGTTTGGATAAAATAGGACATGTTGAGATGTACTCTCTTGTCGTCTATCACTACCTGGATAAACCTGGAAAGAACTCGAGAGCCCGTTCGTTCGGGGCTGCCTGGCAACGAGTTCGCCTCCGTACGGCGAAACGACAGCAAGCGGATAAACGAACGGTGCTTCCAGGAGATCAGCCGAGCAAGAGTCCTTTCACGTAGCCCCTTCTTTTTGCGGTTATCTAACGATACGTGCGCGTTTGTTCGGTCAGCTGGTTTGCGGAATTGTTCGTGTTGTATATAAGAGCTAGTGGTGAGAACTTAGACGACAGGCAGGGATATTTTTTGGATGGTGGCTTAGGTAATATCTGGAAAATATTTCTTCTAAAATTATAAACATTTATTTCAATAATCAATCTTTTTCTAAATGTAAGAAGGACTCACCGATGATAGACATGTCGTCATTTGCGTTTTCAAATTGTGTTGATTCTAGGAACGTGTTTGATAGAAACAGGAAATATCGGTGATGATAGGTAGGTAGGTAGTTAGGTAGACTCGGATTTGATTGATGGATGATCCATGAGGATAAATTGACTAAAAAATATTTGTATATAATTAATATAAATCTTTTTCTTTTGGATTTAACAATTTATTGAAACATTGATTTATTATTCAAAATATAATTGTAAATATCATTTGTATATTTTCAGAACGTATCTAATCTGATAAATAAGATGGCAAGACAACAGACAGCCGATCGAAATATACCTCATTTACGTGACATCTTTGGTTTTGGTAATAAATGGGAAAATGCGCGTATGCAAGCCGAAGAAAAAGCTGCTGGGCACGACAGCGCGGTTTCGGTAGGTTCTACTTCTGGGGAAGAAGAAAGTCCGAAGAACAGTAAGAAAAAGAAGACCAGAAGACGGGACAACAGTAAAACCCTTACTGAAAGCGACGTCAAACATTTGGAGAGACATCTTTCAATGAAGAAGACGATACGCAAGAAGATAATGCGTGATCTTCAACAGGCTTTTGTTGAAGATCCTAATGAGTTCCGCGTCGATGACATACCACCGGAACAACTCAAAGCTGAAATCAATATTCAGAGTCTCAGTTTCGGTACGCCATCTCAAAAACAGGGACGCACGCGTGGCAATGCCGAAAGCACGTTTCTTGATATGCTCAGAGCAGGTGGTGGTAAGACATCCTTATTTTGTTTTCTTCTTAACTGTAATCATATTTAATTAAAAAGAGTTAATCATTTTAAAATAATATGTAACATTAAATTTTTTTAATAGATTTATTTATTTATTGATTGTTTATTTATTATTTTCAATAGGTTTAGAAAAAAATGGTACAGATGGTGATAGGGATTCTGGACACGGTGGTTCACCAACAAGAGAAACACCCAGTGCCCAAGATACAGATGATGAATGTAGCTATAGTTATGATACTCCAACAGCAATGCCACCGAAGAAAAGCGGCAACTTTTGGAGACGTTTCACTATGAAAAATCGTAATAAACGATAAGGATCAATCGTGTTTGATTATAACTAAAGAGTTTCGTTGACCAAACTCGAGGATACAAACTCTATATCAATATTTATTAATTTCCACCCTTTATTACCATCGTATCGACGTAGTTCGAGCAGAGATTTGCAACTGTGATATGCATTGAAGTCCAGTCCTATTCCCTTTCGGAGAAAGAATTTCTCATCCTTGTTTTTCTCCTCCCTCTCTCTCTTCCTCTCTCTTCTTGCCTCTTTCTCTTTTCCTTATTTCTATTGTAAGATTTTAAGAAGTTTCCAATAAAGCTTTATAATAAAAAGCATTGAATTAGAGATCAAATCTATTTTAAGAAATGAAAGTACAGACAAGTACACGCACAAAGTAATATTTTGAATAAAATAAGAGCATATCAAGAAACATTTTAAACATTCGTTATTCAATAATTCTTCAATTTTTCATCTCAATGACAATCACTTGTATTATTATACATAATTGAAGAACAACATGACAATACATCATATCTAGTAATAAAATGTAACATACAAAAGTATCAAACATTTTCTACTCGTATACAATATACAAGAAAAACTTAATGGACCACTTTATACGCTATATATTTTATATATCGTATATTATGGAAACTTCTTAATAATCTGCATAAAAACATAATCAATTATATATACTTATAATAATAAGCACCACACAAATTTTTGATGTTTATTACTATTAAAAAATAAGATGAGAGTGTCGAATGTAAAATATTAGTTTTTAGTATCTATAAGAATAGATAGTTTTCTTAATGTGTTGTCTAAAATCAAGTGAATATGTGAATTTTGAAAAATATATGTATAAATATATTTGAAACGTATACATACACTAACGCATGACTTTGGTATATGTGCATATTATTAGTATTAGCTAGTCAACATCGCTCTTGAATAAACTTATGCAGTATATCATAATAATCTTTTAAATTAAAATATGAAAGCTTCAATTGCGGGAACGAAAGCTTTCTGCAATTATATAATATTTACAACACACATCGCTTTAAAAAAACAAATTTATATTACATTTATAATCAATTTCAAACAATTTCTTAACTATCTTTCTTAATCAGATTACTCTTTTCATTATATAAAATGAATCTGTTGTTTTTTTTTCAGCTTTACAAGTAATTGAATTATACAATTATACAATTACTATTTTTCTTTTCACACCTTCCACATTACATTAATTAATTCATTGTCAAATACAATTTATTTATCGCTTATCATTTATTTTCATCCTTTTCGTTTCGAATGCCAGCTATAGGCAGCATCCACGAGATAGATCTGTGGGTACGAGCGCCATTTATAGGGGTCATTCATAATATGGAGGGGTACGAACGCCGCTAATATATAGTCAGATATTAATGTAAATTTTTTTTTCTATTATTTCTATATCTACTATTCTTTGCTATTTCCGCCAAGATCGGTATTGACGATATCTTCAAATAGGTTTAGACCATTCAGTCCTAGATGCTGTGGCGTTCATTTCCGTAAAATTCGTTAGAGCTTTATAAAGGAATTAATACAGCCGAACAAAAAAACGCTAATTAATTGTTACCAATTTATTTCGCAAGGTGGTGTTATCTGTAGATTAACTATGTCATTAGTAGAAACATCATCCACTCTTGCAATCCGTATATATAGTAAACATTATCACTAACAATAAGATAGAATAAATATGTCGACCACTGAAGATTGGCGTAATTCTGAATTTAAGAAAAAAATATTAGATATAGTGTAAGAGTATTATTTCTAAAAATTACACATTATAAATAGACTTTTTTTAAATATTGTACTTGAAATGTTATAACTACTTAAATGTTTATTCTGTTTAAATACGTAGCAAGAAGGTTGCAGAAAAATCAAATAAGTTTACACTATTTAACATCTATGCAATGGAAAATGTCTATTTCTTGACAGCAGATAACAAGGTATATATAAGTCTATATTTAATATCATTAATATAGCAACCAGTGATCTCTTCCAATTGAAAAAATAATATTTGTCACATTACAAGTAAATTAATAAATAATCATTTTTGTCTGTTACAGGATGATTATCTCACGTTTATTGCAAGACTTATATCCCATATTCAAGAAGAATAAGATTAATTATATACTATAATATATTCAATTTGTTATAATATGTTTCTATTATGATCTAATTTCGACTAACATTTACTTTATACAAAATAAACATAAATAATAAAAACAAACATTTAAAATGACGGTTACGCCCAATTAATTGTTACCAATTTATTTCGCAAGGTGGTGTTATCTATAGATTAACTATGTCATTGGTAGAAACATTATTCACCCTTGCAATCCGATTATATAGTAAACATTATCACTAACAATCAGAAAGAATAAATATGTCGACCACTGAAGATTGGCGTTCTAATGAACTCAGGACAGATGTGTTAGAAATACTGTAAGTATTATCTTTCCATATATTTTTAAACATTATACATTATAAATAAATTTGTTTTAAATATTGTACTTGAAATGTTTAAATACATAGTAAAAAAGCCGTAGAAACAAAACATAATGTTTCTAAATTTTTAAATGTTTTTGAAATGGAAAACCGCGTATTTCAGAAAGCAAAAACCAAGGTATATATAAGTTTATATTCAATATTATTAATACTTACATTAGTCAACCGATTCGGAGATTTTAATATAATAATCATTTTCATCTGTTACAGCGTGAATATCTCGAATTTGTGGGAAGACTTATAATACATTCTATAGAAAAAAAAACTTAATTATATATCACAACATATCCTATTTCTTATAATATATTTTTATTTTTATCTAATTTCGAATAACTTGTATTTACTTTAAACAAAATAAATATAAGTAATAAAAGCAAACATGTCAATTATATAAATATGTGTAGTTTTTCATTAATTCTTCTCGTATTTATTCAAACTACTAAAGAGGTGTTTTTTTACCATTTTTTTTGTCTTTTATTTCTTCGTACGGATCACCATCCATCTATATTTACTAACCGTGCCCATGTTGTTTAACTTCAGTGATCTGACGGGAACTAGGAATCCAACGTGATTAGACCGTTGACAAAAATTATATAAATATATGTACTTACGTAGAGTCTCAAATAATTATAGATTATAACGTTACATTTAAATTGACGGTTATGTGCAATTAATTGTTGAAAATTTATTCCACGAGGTGGTGCCACTTATGCACATAAAATTTCATTGGTAGAGTCATTCATCTTCAAAATATAATATATGTCATTCGTGTTTTTTCTGTTTAATGTTTATGTAAACGAAAGCTTTTAAAATACAATTAACGCGAATGAAATAAATACGATCGTGACAATAAATTATTAAAATAATTTTTAATAATTAAGTAACAATTAAACACACAATGGGAAAGTCACGTAATGGAAAGGCTGCAGTTATATTGACACTAATTGCTTTCATATTTGTGGTTATTGCGTTTACCACACCCAATTGGCTTGAAACTGATGGTAAATTAGAGAATCCAACATTTAGAAAAATAGGTAATTAATTTATATCATTTTTTCGATCACTTTTAAAAATGAATTTTTTATTTTCATTAATAATATTCTGAATTATATATTTAATTCTCATTAATTAAAAGAATGTGTCATTCATAATGAGTCAGAGACTATAAAAATTACTATTAATAAATATTAAATGTTTACTTTCTTTCCGTAGGTTTATGGCAAGTTTGTTTCCAAGGTTTTGAAGATCCTCATCATCTATATGATACCAGATTTTATGGTTGCTGGTGGGTTTTTGAAGAAGAATATTATATCATTCATGATATTCTTTTTCCTGACTTCTTTGTCGCAACACAATTTTTCTTTACTCTTTGTATGACGTTATTGTTAATTGCTGGATCTTTAACTATAACATATACTTGTTGTTCAAGAAACCATGAAAAGTTTCAACTGCTTTTATGGGCAACTGGTGGATCTTTATCATTATCTGGTCTATGTGGTATTATTTCTGTAATAATATTTGGTGCCAGGGGTGATGGTCGCGATTGGTTACCAAATTGGGAGCACAATGATGTTAGTTGGTCATTCGCTTTAGCAGTCGTTGGTAGCTTCATATCAATTGCAGCTGGTATATTGTTCTTAATCGAAGGGCGTAGATATAAAAAGAAAATAGAAAGAATATTGAATGAAGAACAAAAAACTCACACTACTATTTAATATATACATATTTCCATATAATGAATTTTGCTATTTTTTTCATAGATGAGATTACATTTAAATATTTTTAATGTTAGGACATGTGTCCAAAAAATATGCGTCGCATAAATACAAATAAGAATCCGTCCAGACACAAATGCAATCGCTATATCTGATATAGTTAATTGCAATATATTTATAAATATATATCATTTATTCTAGGAGATATACTAGAAAGACTAATAATTGTATACATGTTAATATAATGTTATTTTATCATTTTATGTACCATGTTATGCATCTAAATTTATATATATATTTTAAAACACTTTCACGGTTATATACTTTAACCCTTTGGGTGCTAAATACTTTTAGCTAAAATGCTTCATAAGGACGGAATACTTTATTGCTATTATAAGTTCAGTTAATTGATTATACTAAGTACAGTTAACAATAAACAATAATCATTATTCTCTCAAATGAAATACCACAAGAACAATTTTATCAATGCACAAAACAACATTGCATTATTTGCATTCAATTGGCAAATGCATATATGCATTTATAGCATTCAAAGGGTTAAATCTTAAGAGGTTGTAGGAGAAAGACTATATAGACTATATATATATCATCAAATTATAGAGAATATTTAGATAAAGTTCATTGCATTTTACAGACTGTAAATCATGTATTATTAATTCCGTCCGTAATAATATTAATTTTTATATACAAAAAAAAAAAAAAGAAAAGCAGTAATACTTGTAAATATAAACTATTGTATATAAAGCTTCTATAGTCTCCACCAAAAAAATATAAGTACATAATATATTTTTTAAATCATGTAACATGTATCAAAGATTAATTATTTAATAAAATTAATTTTTAAAATACTAATAATTACTTAACCTCAAAATTTGATGTACATAATATATATATGTATTGTATTACTATATGTAATTTTTACCATCGATTATGAAAAACTATGAATCATAGGATGCAAAATTTAAATAGGGTTTTTTGCACCAATAAGTATTGCATATCAAAATTAATTACATATATAAAAGATACGTTGCATTATTTTATATATCGTATTGAAATTAATTATTACACACTTGAAAAAATAATCTAATAATAAGTATTTCATGACAATTTTACTTAAGTATATATATATACATATACTTACACTCAATACTCGTCACTAATTTGTTAGTTATAAGGTTATGTTCAACAAAATTGTATTATTTTGTATAACAATTGGTAATTGATGTTTATAAATAGAAAACAAGACTTGATTTTTTTTAAGAAACTAAATAATCCTAATAGATTTTATTGAATTATATTTTGTCTTCATAAAATAGGAATACATTGAATTTACCATGGAGAAGATAAGAAGTTTATCTGGTGATGTAGGTAGCGCGGTTCTTGTATCGGCTTTGTTTTTTATAAGTCTAGCATTTGGTACACCAGAATGGTTGGTCAGTGATCCTAAAATTCTTGGCGCTCAATTTGAGAAAATGGGCCTTTGGGTGCATTGCTTTAGGTCTTTACCAAGTCCATATGAAGCCGATGCACCTAAACAATTTTTTGTAGGCTGTAGATGGGTTTACGATCCATTTACTACAGGATACGATCAAATTCGAGCGTTTTTATTGCCACGTAAGTAAATATTACAGTATAGAATTAAAAATTTGTTATCTAGGATGATATGAGTTAAATCATACTAATATTTCTTTTGTGTTATACAAATGTCTAATATCAATTAATATATTTTGATGTTAATAAATTGTACGGTATTCTTTTAAAAATAATTTCTTACAGGTTTTATAATAGCTACTCAATTATTTTTCACAGTATGTTTTCTACTTATTTTGGTATCATTTGGATTAATGTTGTTGTTTATATTATGCTGTCGTCCAACGGAAAAGAGATATATTTTACTTATTAAAATTATTAGTTATTTGTCGTTCATCAGCGGTATCCATGGTTCCATAGCTGTCATCATATTTGCATGCATGGGAAATACAGATGATTGGATGCCAGGTCATACAAATAATTATTTTGGATGGTCCTTTGCAATGGCTGTAATTGGCACTAGCTTAGCTCTCATAGCAGGCATATTGTTCCTTATTGAAGCAAATATACAGAACAAGAAGCATAGAAGTTTTAGGGAATCTCAAATGCAGTTACAATAACAATTGAATGCATAAAGCTTGGATTTATGTGGGTTAGAGCATTGTAATACTTCTTTAAAAAAGCTTTATTATTTTAATCAAATGAGTCAATATATGTAGATATATAGAAAAGAAACTATGCCGTCCTTTACCAAATATGGAACAAATCTTTAAAGAAAACTAGATTTTTTATGTTGTTTAATTTTAAAAAAGATATAAATAATATATAATTATATATATTAAAACTACTCTTTTCATATAGACTATATATTTGTCTTCGTAATTGTCTTGAAATTTTATACTTCTATTTTTCAGAATATCTGTATATACATATATTTGAAATAAATGTAATTTATGAAGTTACTTTACTACTGTTCATTTAGATGTACTTATCAAAATTGCGCATTTGTAATATTATAATTTAAATTTATCATATAATTAGATTCACTTAAGGATTAAAATAAGAATAGAGCAGTGTTTAT